TCCGCTGCACTGGAGCCCTCGGGAGAACTGTTGGCAGCCAAAAAGGCGGTCGGCTGGCTTGTGAGAGGTGTGGAGTCCACAACCTCCGGCTTGGCCATACTGACATCGAGGCGCTCTCTAATGGCATCCTCGAGGTCCTCCTGCTTGGAGGGACCTTTAGCGCTGCTACAAGATGCCCCTTTGTTCTCCATCTCCTCATCTTTACTAGTGCCGGAGGGTAAGGTGTCCGAGGAGTCCGCGGAGTGGCCAGGGCTGCTAGGGTTTGCAGGCGGCGACTTTGCGTCAGCTTTGGGTGAGGGCGAGCCGTCGTCCACCTCCATGACGACGGCCTCCAGGCCGGACGGCGTGGTGGCTCCAACCCTGCCCAAAGCCAAGCCCAAGGCAAAGGGCAAGGGCAGGGCAGCCAAGAAGTAGCACCGGACACTGGTGGCTCCAGCGCTGGTTACCAAGGCCGCTCCGCCCCCCCTCGGGGAGGCGCCGGTCGCAGGGCCCCTACCGACCCTCGGCCGTACGCAAGGACAAGGCCCTCGAGGAGGCATACCAGCGGGTCACTGCAAACCGCGCTGCCACCAAGCCGGATGCTCAGCGTCTTTCTCGCTCCAGCTTTCTTAGAAATAGGTCCCGACCCCCCAAGTCGGTACGAAAGGCGAAAGGGGATGGCAAAAGTCGGGCTGACGACACGTCTGGTGCTAAGGAGGAGCCTCCTCCTGAATTGACCGCCTCCCCCGAGGCCAGACAGGGGCGGGTCGGCCCAAGCATCCGCTCCTGGGGATGCCCCACCCAGCTCCAGCAGTAGCAGCGAGACGGAGCCGGAGGCAGGGTCGGGGTCAGCCCGGGAGGGCTGCTGCGACCTCCGACAGGGACGCGAAGTCCGCGGGGTCAGGGTCACGAGGGGTGGGGGGCCACTCCCACTCGGACACCGGAGGAGACACACTGCCAGCCTCCATTGCAGCAGGCTCCCATGAGCCCGGAGTCACTGGGGCAAGGGAGACATGCTGCTCGGAAGGGAGTGCGGCGCTCTTAGCCGACGTCGTCTTCCTAGCGGTACGCCGCGCCCACGGTGTGGCTGTGCTGGGCGCGGCCTGGTCGCCGTCCGCTTCCTCAGTGGCAGACTCGTAGGAGTCCGCAGTGGGAGTGGCCTGCCCGTCCCCCGACTCCTCTTCCGCTTCGCCCCCTCACGCCTGCTCTGCAGTTCTGCGCCTGGTCGTCCCTTGGCGGGGCTTTGGGCGGCGGCGCGGGTTGCCTCCGAGGAGTGGCAGCTGCCGCCTCACCCGGGCCACTTTTCGCAGGCGGGGCTGCGCTTTCGTTCGGGCGAGCGCTCTGGCTGGCAGCCGCCATTCTCTCTCGGAGCTGGGCACGAACGTCGCTATTGCTCCGAAGGTTGTTGCGGAGCCAAGCGTTCCGGCTAACTCGGCTCTGGTCATGGCTGCGGCCCTGCAGGTAGAGCTGGTAGGCAGCCTCGAGCAGCGGATCCAAGCGCACCGCTGAAGGTGCGGGTGGGTTCCCCTTTCCGCTGCCTTTGCCCTTGTGGCCCTTGTC